TGAATTCCGTGATACAATAAAATTATAAGGTATCCTTTTCCTCCTTTCTGCATGCTTTCGTAGTGTAACGGTAGTACTCTCGGCATGAATTCGAGAGGTCCAGGTTCGAGTCCCGCTGAGGGCATTGCTCATTTTTCACGTCTCCAGCTTCAAAAATATCTTTAATGACTTTAGATTGGTTCTTGGACTAGAGGGTGGTGGGATGTGATTCTTCACCAACTGGATTTCGCGATTGGGTCCCCGAATATCCCAGTTACCCTTTAAAAGGGGAGTATTCTCTCCCTCCTTTTTGCGTGCCTATGTGGTGTAACGATTAGCACACTTGATACGCATTTGAGAGGTCCATGTTTTAGTCCCGGGGAGAGCCTTGCTCATTTTTTGTTTTTTGGTCTCCTGCTTCAGAATAACCTAATGACTTTACAAAGTGAGAGAGAAAGTTATTGCGAAAAGAAATTTAGCTGAGAACGATAGATAGCAAACGTTTTTTTTTTTTTTTTTTTTTTTTTTTTTTTTTTTTTTAATTTTAATGCAACATAAATAAAATACACTCTTGTACTTCAATGGAAAATTTCAGTAAATGCAAGCACTGATGTTTTAAAAAACCTAACCATGAAAATCTTAAGCTTGTTTTGCAGGATTATCCGAATTGTTGTACTATTTTATATATCAATAGCTTTTATATATAAATTTTTATTATTTTATATATCAATAGCTTTTATATATCAAATTTTTACTATTTTATATATCAAATTTTTACTATTTTATATATCAATAGCTTTTATATATCAAATTTTTACTATTTTATATATCAATAGTTCATTACAGTTTTTAAGCTGCATTTGTGAATCTGAAAAGTTTAATACAGTCAAACGTGAGCACAGTTATTTAGAAATACATCCAGAGAAGTGAGGTTACTTAAGAGTTCGTTTCCCGTGCCAAATCCATAAATTTTAACATTTTATTTTCACTAAACTAGATGTTGTTTTCCGTTTCTTTTTACCTTTGTCGTTTAAGACGTGCTCAATCATAATACACGCAGGATACTTGTAGTCTAACACCCATGGTCATGTCAGCTGCGGTATTCTTGTAATAAATGGCTCTGCAAAGTGTATTTGTGAAACTTAAAACTGAAAAAAAGAATGTAAGGATACTTAACGGATGGAGAAATTCAAAGTATTCCGTAAATTAGCTTTCCAAGGCCTAAAAACAACATAAATTTTAGGCGGAAAAAACGGATTCTTACAATTCTTACAATTGCAAATAATCACATTTGGGACAGGAAGACGCATGCTTATAGCTCAAAAAGGAAATATAGGACTTTAAAACGTGCTTACTGTTGTTAAATAGTCAAATGAAAGTTATGACCAAAATAATTCTCTCACTTTTCTTCGCAAAAATTGAAATCAAAAAGAGTTCTGCACCTTTTTCCTACCAATAAATAATCTAAATATTCTTTGAGGTGTCATGTATGGTAGCGTAAATATGTGTTTAACATAATCACAAATCAAAATCATTACCAAGGTAAAACACCTATGAAGGTAACTTGAACTTAGAATTCTGGTATTTGTGACTCAGAGCTTCAGAATGAAAGAACTGTAAATAAATTGTACAGTTATTTAGTTTACAAATTATTTTATTTAGTCTTTACTATAACTACTTTTTTAAGTCTTTACTATAACTTCCTCTTTCCACGTTCCTTGCCAGAATACGAATTAGATTTGTGCGTATTTAAGACCATAGTTTCCAATGTTTAGATTAGAGCTTCTGGTAGCTGCCTCTTTGTGATATTTATCCTCGCCAAAGTTACATTTCGGGCTTCAGGGTTTTGTTGGCTGATGTTACGCCGGTAAAATTCTGAACCAACTTAAGTAATCCGTTTCATGTGCTATGTGCTTTTACATTTAACTTTTGTAATGTTAATTTTAAATATCCAAAAATACTGGAAGTTTCCTCCGTACCAAATTGCGCTTCTTCTGTTCAATTTAAGACTTAAAAAATAAATCTGGTGTCGACACTATATGACTTCCTTGTACGGCTTATTAAATATTTTTTAGAATAATAGTAAACCGATATGAAATATTGTTAAATAGTTATAGTTAGACTAACTACACACACACACACACACACACATATATATATATATAGGGAACGCTTGATTATAAATATGACTACAACACAAGTTAAACTAGGATTTGTTATTTACATTAGAATGAAAATAAAAGCAAAAGAATAGTTTTTAAAACATTTTGTACATGACCGTTCTCACTATCGTTCAATTATCGTCTAACCACACCCTAATTTAGTTGGCGCTCTTATTTACAATTACAGTTTCCACACACACACACACACACATATATATATATGTATAAAACTAGACTTTTTATTTGTCGAAAATAATTTTATTTTTAATCTGACATTGCCCAAATGTGAATATTTTCGTCATTTAAAACACTTCTTTAACTGGAAGTAAATGACGATGACCAAATTTGCGAAAATAAAGAACGGAAGATAATTGTTCAAACACTTACATATAACTTGTAACACAATTCTGTTAGACATACCGGATCAACCTGTTAGACACGATGCATATTACTGGAAAAGTTCGGAATGGGATAGAAATTCATCTAAATTCACCAATTTTATATTATTTTAACGAAAGTTGTATTGAGTTTCATTATGCAAATATGCTGGGCTCTTCTAACTCTATCTATAAACGTAAAGTTACAGTTTCAGTCTAATAAATACACCTATGTGTCATAACTCTTCCTTTGTCTTTCTACCGTGAGAAATAGGTTTAGTTTTTGAAATTTACCCTCATTAAAAATTAAGCCAAAATATTAAATTAGCTTAAAGCAACCACACATTGCCATATCCCTCTACTAGGAATTATCATTTCTCTCTTATTCTGAGAACGCAAGTTGATGTCAACTATTCTTTTATTAATACATAATAATTGTGTCCTTGCCAACCAGCTACAGTGACTAGCAAATGCCACTGTACAGTGGCTAGCAAATGCCACTTAACATTCCTTGAGTTCAGAAATGCTTCGACATATTTAATTTCATTAGGCTCTGATTTATTTTATATGTTATAACCTCACATTTACATTCTACGAGATAGCTCTGATGGTCCCTCGAGGTTTCTTCAATCCTTTTGAATTTTCCCATGTACTTTTTTAATTGCCAGGTAAGAATTAATTTACTAATACTGTAGAGCTATTAGGTTATTTCGGAGCAGGAGAGATGAAAAATGAGCAACACCTTCCCCAGGATTCCAACCAGGAACCTCTGGAATACACGCCCAGCGTGCAGACCATTACACTACAAAGGCACGTTAAGAAGGCGGAAGAAATACCTTATATCTAATAGCAACATTATTCTTGAAGAACAATAAGGAACATGGTTAGAAATTTTTATTGAAAAGTTCAAGCAAATAATCGTTTAGGTACTATTTGTTACTTCGATGCGAAACAATGTTTTAAATTTATATTTATTACAGATATTTTTTTTATTCTTAGTAATACTGCGGCTCACCAGCTTCCGAGCGGTAAAGTCGCTGAACACTGGAAGTTATGTCTGAGGCTAAAATACCGCTAACGGTTTAGCTTCATGGGCGTTTTGGGGTTTTTTCCCATGTGTAACGTGGATACGAGCCAGTTTCTATCAGAAAGTCCCCCACGAAGGCATCCCTCCTCTTAGGCAGATAGCTCTCGAGGCTTTTCTATAACCACATAAACCTACCAATCTTGGTAATATTCGAATACTCATATGCCATTGTTTTCTCTCCCAGAAGAGAAGCTATTAAGTCCAATAATTTATTTTTGAAAAAGTATTTAGGGGGGAAAATACTGTTACGTAAAACGAAAGCATAATTCAGAGAGACCCAATTTTTATAATTTTGATTATAGCTATTTCAAGTTTTTGCATCATTTTCAGACACACTGGTCCAATCGCTTTATACATAACAATACTAATTTTTTCTTCTACTTTTGCGTTATCATCAACACAATGCATTGCATTAAACAAAGTTATACCAATACTCCATTTAGAATTAAACCGACATCAATACAAAATAAGTGAAACTTGACTGTTTCTGGAATTTTATAATTCACGCATTGACATGATTTGGCAGATAAATCTATGAGCAATGAATTGAAAATGAAAATTTTTAATGAGGAATAAATCTATGGGCAACGAAAAGCTATAATTGTTTTACAAAAAATAATATAAAACATGACAATAATTTCGATTTTTAATTTTTGCCTGTTTTTTCTGACCATACTTTTTTTTTCTTTAGTCCTTCTTTCAGTTAAAAGATTTCACATCATAATTTTGAGATTCTTCAAAGTTTTTGGTAGGTAATATCGAATTGGGAAACATAATTACTCATTAATTAACATTAATTCATGAATTTCCAAATGCCGGGAAAACAGAAAATTCGAGAAATTGCATTCTTTATTTCAAATTTCTAACAAAATCTAAAAATTTTATTTGGAGCATGACCTTCACTCTACCATAACAAACAGAACCAAGGTTGGAGGTTTGATAAAAAGTGCATATTTTATGGGATTACCTTCCTTTTTTCTGAACCTTAATTAGCACCTTTTCTACGATATAGAAATTTAAGCTGAAAAAGGAAAAAATGATAGTAAGTCCCTACTCGACATGTTAATTACTAATTTAATTTAATGGAGCAAACATTTCACACATAGTTTTAAAGGACAAATACGTGTTTCGAATCGGTAACTGTTTCGTTGAGAGATAAGAAAGCAATGTCAACAATATTTCAAGGCGAAAATTAAATGATTGCTGAAGATGTGTTTGAAATTTGAAGGGATGAGTTTTTAAAGCGAGGCGGTTTGTTATTTTTGTTTGTTCTGGTTTAAAATGTTAATATTCTCCCAGCATGCAAGTTACAGGCAAAGAGAGCACTAATACATCGATCAGTATTCTCCCAGCATGCAACTTACTGATACAATTAACACATATTTTCACAACCCCGCACGTATATATATACTCAATGGTTCTACGTATTTTCACGCACTTTTCTCGAAGTGTTCAACTGCGGCTTGCTTTGTAAAGTCTGTCGTTCGGAACCCTGAACATGAAGGTAATTAATTTTATTAGTCACAAACTAATTTAACTCTATCTTTTCTATTCTTAAATAATAATTGATCTTCTTAAAAAACTTTATTCATATTGTATTAAAATTTCGTAATATAAAACAAAAGGTGACTTAGTTTGGGAATTAACGAATACGTTACTAGATAGAAAATATAAGAAATTTAAGAAAATTAAATTACTTTTACTTCCTTCTACGAAGTATTGTAATCACGAAAAATTCCGGGTACCATTTGTCAACGAAAATATCCATTTTGACCGCTATCGAATACAATTTAACAATGTTTTTATGTGACATCTGTACGTAAGGACAGACTAAAGGATTCTTTGTCCTCAAACTAATTAAAAATCTGATTTAAAATGGATTCAGAAGAGATTTCTTTCATGGCGTCTTTACGTACACGTACGTATGTATCTCGCATAACTCAAAAAACGAGCAGTCTCAGAACGTTGAAATTTTGTATATAGGACTGCTACAACATGTAGTTGTGCACTTCCCTTTTTGGTTGCAATCGGCTGCACACCCACTCTGTTACTCGGCTCAGTGAGTTCAGTTTTATATTCTTATATATTGGTAAATTGTGCAATTTTGCTTTAAAATGACTGAATAATGTTGTTCTTATATTCCGGTTAAGGATTTTATGCTTTTAATTAAACTGTATGCAATATTTGTAGAATTATCAACAATTTAAATGTTATGTAAGTAAGCCTAATTTGTTTTCACCACAAGAGCCATATTTGTTTACATTTGAAACTTAGCAGAATAATGAATTAATTCTTTCTGCACCTTCAGTGTTTATTTTCCAAGCGGGATGCCTGTTGGCCGAGTTTGTTGTTTTACCGAAGAAACTGTAATTTTCATTGTTAAAATTCTTTTAATTGTTTTAACTATATTTGGTGTTTTATGTTTTTCTATATCTTTCAGTTCTTAATGAAAATATTTTGAGTTTTTATATATTTTTGCTTTGCCCGAAGGGAGAACTGAATTAATTGAATGAAAAATATATCTCTAATGAAATTCGAGGTAATAAGTTTAAATGAAACGCAGGGAAAATACGTATAATTTAAAATTATGTACAAATATGTCATGTGGTAAACACATCAGCCTTTTTCAGTTTAAAATCTATTTTGTGTAGGTTAAAAATATGACATATCGAAAGCATTATTGTATGAATTTTGCTGCGTTTCGTAATTATTACTCAAACTAATTAATCGAAAGACAAATTGATAATATACTTCAAATGACAAAGCGTGTTTTATCGTCACTATACTACAATTTTGACAACAGATTGTTTAAAATAGTTAAAATAATTATCAGTTAATCAAATAACAAAAGATGAGCATTATTAAGTCAGTTGGTAAAACACTTGTGATTGTTAGTCGATGAGAACAAATTAATATTAGGAATTAGTATAAAATTCATATCAATAGACAGATTTGATGATGGACATTGAAATATTATTCATCAATAGACTGAACTGGTGACTGACAATTAAGAAGCATTCACCAGTCGATAAAAATGATGAAAGATGCTCTTCCTCAGTTGTCCGGATGAACTTGGCATTGTTAATTCTTAAAAACTGTTTATGGATATTCATAGAATCAGCTGATGAAACTTTCAGCTGTTGTTCGACCGAACAGCTAAATCTGTTGAGCACTGATATTTCGACCTGAGTTCGCACTCTGGCAGCATGAGCGTTTTCGTGGCTTCCTCAAGTGTAACGTCAACGTAAGCCACTTTGCCTTAGAGCATTTTCTGTGAAAGCATTCCTGCTAACGCAGACAGCCCTTAAAATGAATTCCCAGTCCTTGCTGCAGGCAGCAATGCCTTGTTGTATTAAGATAAACGAATGCACATTCATCAGCCGAGAACTCAGTTGTTGAACTATACAGGAGCAGATGTTATTTTAGGGCCCTCAGATAGTTTCCACAGTTGGTAAAGTATAGTACTATTATTAATATTACTTTTCCCACTTGAGTTCAGTACATCTTCTAACCCAAATTAAAGGAAGAACATTAGTGTATCTGCTCCGTGCCTAAAGAATAGAAAGAAATTAAAGAGAAAAGAAAATCACACCAATAATTCTGTTACTGTAACATATAGCAATGGCAAGGCCTCAAATTTGGATCATAAAAGAACATTTGTTATTAAAAGCAATGTGTTAAAAAAATGATTTCTATATTATCTCTAGCAATGAAAAGTAATTTATTATACACGAAAATAAAAAACAATTAAATCAGCATTTCTTCGATCAAGTTGAATTCCTTTTGTTATCAAGAAAAAAAAATTGTAATGGATCACAAATTATTATATTCATTTTTATTAGAGCATAAACGTATATTTAAGTAAAACAACGCTTATATTTTAGTAACATTTCCTCAAAATTTTTGTTTCCTAACAGTAAAAGCCCAGCTTTGTTAGCCCAGCTCAAATGACCTCTTTGCGTTGATGTTTTTGAAGTTAATATACTTTTACATTTAATTTTTATTTTCATCGAAGTACACAGAAAAACTTTCAGTCTGGAATCTCAATGAAATTCTTAGAGGAAAACGGAATCTTTAATTTCTTAGTTGCGGATTTTTTTTTTTTTTTTTTTTTTTTTTTTTTTTTTTTTTTTTTTTTTTGAAAATCGTCAACGACATATAGATGCAGACATTTCCAAAAGAATAAAATGTTATTCAATGGAGCGTTTACATTTAAGGCAAACGTACGTTATACAAAATATTTAAATTTATTTGATTATAACAAAGTTTATTCCGACTCATATGTGAAGGGAAGAGGCACTTTTGTGAAGGATTTTTCTAAGAGAAACTAGCTCATTTTTCTGATACACATGAAGAGACTACAAAACGGCCGACGTTGAAACGCAATCATGCTCGAGACCGAGTAGACCTCTCTGTGTTCAACCGTTTTAATCCAATTTGTAACTTTTTAGCGAATTTCTACTATATCATAACGTAACAGTACATATTTACAATTCCTAAACAAGGATTCCAAAATTTAGAATTGATACACATTTAACTTGCAAACCAAAATGTTATTTCTTTTAAAGTTATAAATAGTATTATATTTAAAAAGCGTTTCACTATCAAACGCTTGAAGAGTGCCGTTCTTTCATATTTAAAACTAATTTTGAGGAAGAGTTTAGCGTTAAATAATCATTAGATCTGATGATAATAAGACATCTATGTGAGCTTATTACATAGCGTAATTATTTTGTATACTATTTTTAATTTACATAAATAACTGCTCTTAATTACTTCAATTAAAATATAATAGTTGCACAAAGTTGCCAAAAAGCTTGCATGTAGTTAACTGATTTTTAAAATACATTTTTAGTCACCATTTGAATTTTTAAGTTATAATTAAGAGTTAAAATTAAATTTGACACGAATTTCACAACTAAAAAAAGTAAAAAACTTTCTGAAAGCTAAACAGTCACAGTATTGTAGAAAATTCAACTCTCGAAAGGAGATAGTTATATTTTAACAGATAAGACTAAGCTTAATTTCATATTTTCTGATTTCATGGCTAATTTATCCTTGATCCTTTCTCAGTTTTGCTACTCAAAACACTAGGCCATAGAACGTTTTTTAGATTATTCTTGTTATTTTACTATTAACCTTCTTGCATTAAAAATAACAATAAACAGAATGCTGTATCAAGTGACGTTTCGATTACCTTACATTTAGGAAAGTGATTACATAAATATAAAGGCCTTAATTCAATTTTCCGCTGTGGGAGCAAATACAAATCTCAACGGTCTTTCAGAGGAAACTAAATAATATCACAATGTAGATAAACGCTGCATCAATACACCCTACTAGACTACAGAATAAAGATGCAGTCATGGAATGGGTCAATGACTGGGAATAAAGATGTAAAAAATTGTTTCAAGACTTTAAAATGTGTTTTAAAAGCTAATAATAAATGCATAATTAAAAAAGTCTGAAAACTTTCAGATTTAATATTACGCCCAAAGGATTCTTTTTTAACTTCTGTGTTACCTTTATTTATTAAATATCATGTTCTTCGCACTTAAACCATAAAATTTAATTCAACACTAATATCACAAAATAATTTAAAAAGAGCATATCTTTAAAATTTCCTATGTACAATCTCGCGCGCTGGAGATAATTTTTTTTCCGTACATTGTTACCTTTGCTCGCTTTCAAATCGTTTAGTTTCTTAATCAAAAATTCGTTAAAGTTTTACAAAATCGAAATAGATAAAATTACAGATTCCAAACTTGGGCTTCCTGAGCAACGTAGTCGAGTAGAGGACTACGTTATTCAACATTTGATGTCTCTAGGTACCGCTGGTTTTTCACAGTGTGGGAAAAATTCACACATTTATACAGATTCTTCATTATTTAATTTCGTTAAATTTAGTGCAGGACTTTAATATTTGGTGGCAACAATTTGAAAAGGGAAACGCCATTTATAGTGAACCAAAGCAAAATGTCAAAACGAAATTAATAGCCCTTCTGAGCAAATTGTACCTTTGGGCTAATAATTATATTGCGTAATAAAAGCACAAGACTTAAACTCATTTTAAAGTATATTGTACTTATTTTGAAAATTATATTTACTACATCATTATTTTAACAAATGCTGCGCAAAGATATAATAAAATTTTAAAGGATTATATATTAAATACGCTGAGAGCATTGCTTAAACATTTTGCTTTGATTTCATTGGGAATTAAATACTACGTTTCTTTAGCGTATGTTGAAACTCCTGAATGAGATAAATTCCACTTCAATAAAAGTCACTTTTTTACACAAACTCTTTGGGTGATGTTCAGAATTTTGCATGAAACTTAATTTTAATTTGTGATATGGGAAGAGAAATTGCCTCTTTCATACAAGGGTTTTGTACGATGCTCAGTATTTCTCATTAAATTTAATTTTATTATATTCAATAGAAAAAATTCACCATTGATTTAAAATTTCTTTTAACAGGTCTTTATCATCTTCGCTTTCCTAGCCGTCGCTGCTGTAGCGCAATACGCGGTAAGTAATTTTTTCGGATTCATTAATTCATTGAACATTAATAAGTAACTAATTACGACTTCAATTTCATAATTCATAAAAATACTTCAAATCTGAAATTTTTTTTGTAATGCTAAAACCTTCCGTTACTATTTTATAGGATTTCTTAAAGATTGGAATAAATTTACCGAATAATAAATTCAGATGTAGTATACAAAAACAGATATGCACAGTTTAATCAGTGTAATTAGACTATTAAGTCATTTATTCTCAAATTTGTAGCTTTCTCATTTGTTTACTTATTATGAAACAATGTAAAATTGTTCAACCATCAGATTTTCATCGGCCAGGATCAGAACTATTGAAAATACCTTCAAGTTCTTTAATAATGTTCTTTTTATTTCATTTATGTATAAAGATATATAAATATTGTACTTTGAATTTGGCAACATTTTCTAACACTTTGAATCGCTTTCTGATCAAATATTTAATCCCATTCATCTTTAGATTTTTAATTTTAATGAGACTGTAACAATTCCTTTTAGTATATAATAGTTTTATTGGAATTCCTTGTAGAAACATTAGGTATTTGTTTGGAAGCAGGTAAGATGATAAATATGCAACGCCTTCGCCGGGAGTCGAACCACGGACCTCTCAATTACGCGCCGAGCGTGCAGAGAACCAAACCACGAAGGCATGCCAAGAAGGCGGGAGAAACACCTTATATACTTCCCCTTTTAAAGGGCTATTGGGGTTTTTAAGGGAACCAATAGCCAAATCCTGGGTGAGGAGAATCATCATCCAACCCCCCTTTTAGTTCGGGCATCATTTTAGAGACATTAGGTTATTTCGAGGCCGGAGAGATGAAACATACGCAACTGCTCTCGCCGGGAATCGAACCAAGGATCTCTCAATTACGCGCTGAATGTGCAGACCACCACACCACGAAGGAATGCCAAGAAGACGGGAGAAATACCTTATATTATCCTTTTAAGTAATTTGCTAATTATGAATTTCCTTTTAAGTAATTTTAAGTAATTCCATGCTGCTCATTTTAAACAACAGATGAAATTTTGATAAGGAGTTTTACCTTCAGCTAAAAACTGTCTAAACACTAAATGTAGCTTATAATTTTAGACAAAAAATATCAATTATTGATACACGCTTCTTGCAAATTCTCTAATTGTTCGTGCAGTAGAAATAATCAGAAGACAAATTTTATTCAGAACAAAGTTGCACTACGTTGTTCTTAAATATGTAAATACAGATACGTTGACGGTGTCTTATAAAATGATACCTAATATCAGAACTACTCCAATGTGAAAATAACTAATTTTAGACGTGCTAAACCTAAATACCCATTTAATATTTTTCAGGGTTTAATACAATTCTAGATACATTCAATGATTTAAAATACTAAATGCTTTCTCATTTGAAATTTAAAAATATATAAGTAAATATATTTATTTAATGAATCTTATGAAAAATTATCTGTTTCAGTACGGGGACTCTGGAATCACTGGTGACTCTAGTGCTAATATAATAGAAAAGTAAATGCTTTAAAAATTGTCGCAGTAACATTATAAAGGACTACCGCTATTATAATTTCCCGACATTTTATGTATGTAGGTTGTGGTTGTTGTTATCTTGTCAATCGATTTTATGAAAGAATGTTTGCCAAAGCCTCAAAGGGACTTCTATCATCTTTCTAAATTAAACCAGAAAATGTTGACAGATTCCAAAACTTGAATAAAAGTAGTTTTCGTTATTCAAAACCTAAAACTAAATATTTAATAGGTAAATAAAAGGCTGACCGCATTCCCCCCTCCCCCCCAAAATAAACTATTAAATTCCCCTCTGGTTCAAAACACTGCTTTATACTGACATTTCATGTTTTAGATAAAAAGAAAGGATTACACGAATAGATAACAATATTTTGTTCATTACTAGTATAACTAGTTGTAGCTCTTTCACTTTCAGCTGATTATTTAACGTGCTTATATGTACAGTAAGCTTTCTGTTTTTGTATTTGCAATGGGAATTAAAATAAATCGGTTTATGTTAACAGATAATTAAGCCTAATATCGACAATATTTTGAAGTTATTCATTTCCGTTTTACGTCAACAGGAAAAACTGGGAAAAAGGAGCTGTTAAGGAAACAAAAGGAAAAACAGTTTATAAATGGGAAAAAAAGGCGTAAAATCGATAATCGGAAATTACGATATTTTTTAACATCGTGTAAAAAATAACTAAATCTTTGAAACATCTTTGATATTTTTGATAATCAAAGGTATTCATACATTAAATTTGGAGGAAAAGAAAAGTTTCTTAATTTCATTTTTAAAAAATTCCATTTTTCCTTTCGGTGACTTATCAGATTTTGCATAAACATCACGTAAGTTAAATGTCTTATTATTCCTTGCGTAAACATATCACGTACGTTAAGTATCCATAAGATACTTAAAAAGATAGCATACATTTCCTAAATTTGAAGATAGTACTCATTTCCTTATACTATTTTTTTGCTTTCCATTTTGCTTCTAAGATGACTTCCTTCCTCAGACTACACGAATTTTAAATCTAATTCTCATTATTTCTTAATTTTTTCTGCAAACAAAAAAGCTATTCCTGAAATTCCAATAGAAAGATACAAAATCTAAAATTTCCTCACTTTAATTTATTATAAACCTTAAATAATATCTAAATTAATTATTAAATCTTTCATTTTTTCTTGCTACAGTTTGAAATATATTTAACATTTGCTTTGCAAGCTTAAGCAAATAACATTTTTTGGCTCATATCTAATTTGTTGGTAGATATGCTTCCATTTGCTAATGGATGTCGGGACATATATGTATCGCTTTTGTGCTCCGATATCATCTTTTCGGTTTCGATATCGTCTGTGGAACAGGCATCCATGACAAAAGAATTCATTGTCACTTAGGACTTGAATAATAATTATCAAAATTCAAATTTCCAAAAATTCAATTATTGCACTTTTCTTATTTTTAATTCGTAATAAATCTTAATGTTCTTTTGTACCTTTAAGTTTGTTGATATATAAAATTTCAATAAATTACGAGTGAAATTAATGATGTAATCTGAATTGGCATATATTTATCTGCAACTTCTGCAAGCTACATGTGATGTTTACCTTTAAATATACAAGAATGAGAGAGATAAAAGGTACTGAAATCTAATTTTCTTCTTTGCGGATAAATTACAGTAATGGGATGAAATAAATAGTATATATGGCTATAGTTTCCTGTTATTCCGAAACATATTGGTTTGAATGTTTTTGTAATTCTTTATGTTATCTTAAATTCGAAGGCAGATTGCAGATATTATTCCACACCCACTAGAGGATTTCAGTTATAAGATAATTCCTAATCTTTTCAGCGACCATTCTTTTAAATAAGAATGAGTTGGATCAGCAAGCATACCGCCTGCCTAGCAAGTAAACAATTAGAAGGAAAGCAAGAAGCTGCATTTAGCAAACATAAAATTAAAACTACGTAGACAAAAATAAATAAAAAGTGAAAAAGAAGCTTGTAAGGTATTTCTCCTACCTTCTTGGCGTGCCTTCGTGGTGTAGTGGTTCTGCACGCTGGGCCGGTATTCCACAGTTCTGTGGTTCTATTCCCGGCGAAGGCGTTGTTAATTTTTCAATCTCTCCTGCTTAAAAAAAATCCGATATCTCTACAGTGACGTCCGAACTAAAGGGGTTGTGGATGATGACTCTTCACACACAGTATTAGGTGACTGGGTCCCCTAAAAACCCCAGTCGCCCTTTACAAGGGGGAGTATGTAAGGTATTTCTCCTGCTTTCCTAGCGTGCCTTCGTGGTGCAGTGTTTCTGCACGCTGGGCCGGTATCCAGAGGTCCGTGATTCGATTCCCGGCGAATGCGGTTGCTAATTTTTCATCTCTATGGCTTCAAAAAAAAAAAAAAAAAAAAAAAAAAAAAAATCCTAATGTCTCTACAAGCTTTTGAAGAATTATTGGTTGAAACTAAGTTGATTCCATTAGTTACATATCAAGGCATTCTGCAACATTATGGTCAAAATATGTGAATGCACATATGTAAAAATTGACCAACAAACAATTTCCAAAATTAAGTGTTCTATCAAGCAAATTAAAAATATTATTGTCTTTTATTTGCTTACTGTGAACAATTTTAATTAAAATGGGAATGAGATAAAACATCTCTAATTAAACTATTTCTGCTAGGGATAAAACTGTTTTCTAAAAAATTATTACAAATTTTCATTTTATTTCTTATAATTATTTTATTCCCAAAGTAAAACAAATAATGCTTAAACGCCAATTGAAACTCCAATGAAAGTTGCCAATTTAAATCAGTATTTTAAAATTATTCTAAAATATTTATATTCCCACTTGACTCATCTCACATTAATATCCTCTTAACAGGTACTAAATAATGGTTATTTGAAATCCAAGCCATTATTTAATAGCTCTGTATTTTTAGAATCCAATTATAATATATACCGAGGAGGAAAAAATTATTGGGATTAGAAATTCACAAATTTTAATGTTGAAATATGTTATTATATTTATGTATGTTACGTTGTCTACGCAGGAACCTCAGTACCAACCCATCCCATACTCATTCAATTACGCAGCTGAGACAGAAGATGGAGGAAGGAGCTCCCGGGAAGAAAGCGGAGACGGTGCAGGTCGTGTCACTGGTTCCTACAGCGTTAATAACCTAGAGGGACACTCTAGGGTGGTTGACTACATTGCCGACGAGGGTGGATTCAGGGCTACCATTAGGACCAACGAGCCAGGAACAGACAATATTAGCCCTGCTGATGTGGTCTTAGAATCTTCAGCGGCAGGAGCTTCTGCAGCAGGAGCCTCAGCTTACTCTGCTGGTGCACCAGTCGTAGCAGCCGCCAGACCTGCCCCTAGACCAGCAGCTCCAGCTGCAGGCAGAGCACTTAGATACATCCTAGTCCCCATTGACGATCCAAGAGCGGCCGGATATGTATAAATAATACACAAAACATTTGGCTATTGATAGTTTCTACGGAAGATTTTTTGGGCATTAGGTATCAGAGATTATATTGTAAAATGAAATCTGGTATTGCTTTTTCAATCGGTGCTAAATAATAAATTTTATATTTTTATATTGAAAACTGTTGTTTATTCTCTTTCTCTATATTCATATAACCAAACATCTACCCGTATATTTCAGCATATTTCAAAAGCTTAAGAAATTTTAATTGCATCAACAGTGTACTGCTATTTTTTCAGCCTTTAAGAATCTTTGCAAAAAAGACATTTCGGCATAAAAAGAAAGAAACGTATAGCTTGGTTGAAATTTTCCAAAGAATTTCATAATTGAGAGATCTGATAAAACAATGAGTAAATTCGTGTTGGTGATCGGAAAAATGCCCACAGGAAAAAACCCTCAAAACTGCTCACAGGTATAAATGCTCACAGCAAAACGCCCACACAGAAATATGCCCACATAGAAAAAAGCTCACATGGAAAAATGCTCACTTAGAAATATGCTCACACGGAAAAAAGCTTACATAGATATAGGTTCACATAGAAATAAGCCCAATGATAAATAAAATACATAGAAATATTCTTACATTAATTAATCAATAAATTAATCGATTTGAACATCGTACACCTACTTGAATTTTTCATAAAATATTATTTAAATTTCCAAAACATCTATGGGATATATATATATATATATATATATCAAAACGGCCCGTTTGTTAATCTTATATAGTAACGAAATCTATACAAAAGTTATACAGTTTTTGATATATATGATATATATATGTATATATCAAAAACTGTATAAGGAATTAGGGAAAAGAGAGGAGGAAGGAAGAAAAATGAAACACAATTTATGCGGCGAATGTTATTTGATATGCAAAGTTAGATTCAATAAATGGATAAGATTATTATCACTTTGCTGCGGCAATAATTTTAAAAGTGCACGCATACATGACACTTATAGCCAAAGAAGCTTAGAAATGACTCATACTTATGGAATTAATACTCCAACAATTACAACCAAATCTTCGATACCACGTTCCTCCAAACTCTGCTATTACATCCGATATATTTGATATTATATCTGAGTATTACATCAGATATCTCAGTTAAGATTAGATTTTACATCTAAAGTGGATAATAGTGCACTTATAAAAGAGTTAAAGAGAAATTTTATAGCGGAATAGAAAATTTTATGCAGTTGAAAATGTCTTTATGCAGATAACATTAATAACATATCTAGCAAATTATTATTAAGAAATATATATTGTTTTGTAAAAGATTCACTTTCTTACATTGATAAGCGACGTACTTGAAGAGTAATAAGACTGGAAGTTAAATAAAATGTCTTACGCACCTTAAATTGACACTGACTTTTCTTCTAGCCTCGAATTTGTTATTCAGCTTCGGAGATGATTTGGTAGAAAAATGCCGAATTTAAACCATACTGAATCCATGCTGATACTGTTTAATGTAAGTTCTAAAATTCAATTCTGTACATTTATATTATTTATTATCAACATTATTAATTTATAAATATTATTATATTATCCTTGCAGTCTCTCTTTATAAATTAATATCATAGTAAAGAGGCTATTTTCAGAAGTCAAACAACAAAAATCAGCGTTATATTTTCAAATTTTCAAGACTAATTCGATGGTTTTACCGAACACATCCTCAGCTGCAAAACCGCAAATGAACAGATAGGAAATAGGATTAGATAAGATAAGAAGCTGGACAAGAATAAGCAAGTGGCGCCATCTGTTGGTGAAACCAAAACTAAAACATAATTTCTTTAAAGGCCGAAGGCAAAGGTGGATTGGAATTAGGATCGTTAACTAGAACAGAAAGATTTTTAAGATGTTTTTTGAATAATTTCGGCAACAGAAAAATTGAAAGTGTGATTTTCGGACCAACAATGTTGAGCAACAGAAGACTTCTGTGTTTCCTTTTTTCTAACATATGCCTCATGTTCCTTGACGCGAAATTTTAAGGCTCTCCTAGTTTGGCCAATGTAAATCAAACCATACTGGCAAGGAATCCTATAAATACCCCAAGAGCTTGGACTAGTTTCGATGGTGGTTCGGTAAAACCATCGAAACTAGTCCTGTGAAAATTTTGAAAATATAACGCTGATTTTTGTTGTTTGACTTCTGAATTAGTATTTATTCGGCGTATTATTGTGTCTTAAAGAGGCTAATATTTGTTCTTTAAAGTAAAGTTCAAATCCCACACTCTTCTTTATTATATTAATATATCTCTCCTCAAATCCCCGCCGAAACGCATGTAGAGAAACAATTCATTTTATTATCAAACTGGTGCATACAGCTTTGTCAAACGTATAGGAGCTTGCTCGAAATTCCAATATAACTATGAAATCTGATACCACACGACTTATTAATTTCATATTTTATTTAATCTGTTTTTAGGTAATATTTTACTTTATTTGTTTTCCCAAAAGAACTATTAGTCTCAAAACGGCATTTTGCGTCGAATCACTTTAAATCTTTGAATCACTTTTCGAATTGTTGCCGCCAAATATTGTCACTCAGTATTATATTTAAAGAAATTAATAATGTAAAACCTACATGATGTAAGTATGTTTCTCGCACTTTGGAAAACCAACGGTAACTAACATCATCAAATTTTGAATACCATAATCCTTCCCCTTAATATGGACATCGGAAGTTTGAATAAGTAATTTGTTTTATTGTCTATTTCATATTTTGTAAAACTTTAATGAAGTTTTGGTAAACTCAACAATTTTAAAGCAAGCAGCAATGGCAACGCTGTAGCGAGTAGAACATTTTTATCTCCAGCGCGCGAGACTATCTATCGGAAATTTTAAAGATGTGCTGTTTTTAAATATTTTTGGAACAATTGAAGTTAGCCCAAATACTCTCGAAACGTGTATTTCTCTCTAAATGAAATAGACGTCCGTATGGGCGTAATATAAAATCTGAAAACTTTCAGATTTCTAGCCCAAAGAGGGGGGGGTTAGCATAGATGAGCTATTAGTCTGAAAACGGCATTTTGCAGCTTTTCGCTATAAACGGCTATCACTTTTCTAATTGTTGCCACTAAATGTTATCGTCTTGTATTATACTTAAAAAAATTAAATAATGAAGAATCTGAATGAATGTATGCATGTTTCTCGTATTGTTTAAAAAAGACGATATCTAGAGCCATGAAATTTTGAATAACGTAATCCTCCATCTGAACATGGGCACCTGGTAGACCGAATTTTGAACTAGAATTCGGTTTATTGTCTATTTCATATTTTGTAAACATTTAACGAAATTCTGATTAACAAACTCAATTATTTCAAAGCGGGAAGTGGCAACACTATACGGAGAAAACATTTTCATCTCCGGCGCGCGACACTGTGTATCGGAAATTATAAAGATATGCTGTTTTAAAATATTTTGTGATATTGTTGTTGAATTGAATTATATGTAGTTTAAGTAAGAAAAGTATGATATTTAATAAATAAAAGTAACACACCAAACATTAGAAAAAGTTCCTTTGGGCGTAATATATAATCTGAAAGCTTTCGGCTTTCATTTTTTTTTATAAGTTCAAAGGGGCAATTTGCTTTGAAGGATTATTAATTTCGTTTCGGCATTTTTCGTAGAAAACAATAAATGGCGAATCACTTTTCAAATTGTTGCCACCAAATATTATCGCCCTGTATTATACTTAAAGAAATCAAGTAATAAAGAATCTGCATGAATATATGTATGTTTCTCGCATTGTGGATAAAACAACGGTACCTAGAGCCATAAAAACTTGAATAACGTAATCTTCCGTAGAATATGGGCATGTGAAAGCCCTAATTTTAAATTTGCTTTATTATCGATTTCATATTTTGTAACACTTTAGCGAATTTTTGATTAAAAAACTAAACAATTTCAAAGCGAGCAATGGCAACACTCTACGGGTGGGGGTAAACCTTTTTATCACCAGCGCGCGGAACTGTGTATCGGAAATTCTAAAGATAGGCTCATTTTAAAATTATTTAGAGATATCGCTGTTGAACTGAATTTGATGGTTTGAGTATGCAGAACATTATATTTTATACATAAAGGTAACTCACAAAACGTTAAAAAAACGCCCCTTTGGACGTAATTTAAAATCTGAAACCTTTCAGATTTTGTTAATGATGTATGCTAAATATTTTTTATTAATTTTTTGTCAAATTAAGAAATGTCATATGGAATTATTGTTGTTCCCAATGTCCGGTCACTTGCAGCTTAATGCATTCGTCAGGAATGTTCAATAGCCATCAGTAATTTAGTAGTGTCGTCACTAAAGATATTCAACACGTAACACAGAAATCGGAGAAATTATAAAGAAAACGCTTTCTCCGAATTTTGATGCAAAACAGTCCGGTGGTCGTTTCCAGGGGTCTTCCACCTTTCTCTACCAAACCTGTAGGAGTACTTTCGGATAGCTAGTATTTTAAGTACCCTCATGCCTTACAAGCACTATATATTGAAAAACATAAAAACCTTCTCTGAATTTCCTACCTAGGATCAATGATACAGTAGTCAGCATCACTTACGACTATACTAATGAGGGAGGAGAGATACATTTAATTCCGGAAAATTCATTCGCATATTTTAGAAAAATGCAAATTTGTTTCAGTAGTAAAAGCACGCTGTTGTTAATTTGTTATTAACTGAAGCATAAGCAATATGTTGAAAAAATAAAAAACGAATATAATAGTTCTAAAAAACAAAAAAAGTGGACTACTCTCAAAATGCAATGAGGAGCTAATACTTCACAGTTTGCTGAATGTAACACATACAACAGGTTTATGGTACATATACAATAGGTCTCAAAATTCATGATGATGGTATAAAATAAAAACCGCCAATGACTTCTGATTTCGGTGATCTGTGTTAGTAATTCAGTAATAAATAAACAAAATGTAAAATTTTTAATTCTTACTGCATGCTTTCGTAGTGTAATTGGGATGACCGTTCGGACAGTAATCTGGATGCCCCGGATTCAAGGCGAAGACACTACACATTTTTCGAATCTTCTACTTCTAAAAATAAAACTAATCATCTCTACAAGTGGAACTTGAACTAAAAGGTTATGGACGATAAATCGTCGC